AGCATTCTTGATGTTTCGTCTGTTTAATATCACACACAGAGGGTCAAAGTTCAAATCAAATAAACAGTTAGATCAAATACATATAGCCTAGAAGGTGTGAGAACACACAGAAACAATCAAAGAGTCACGTTCAAGATCATCCACCAGGAGACATGATTAATAGTAAACTCGTGGAAACGTCTAAAAGCTGACTTCATCAACTTGAAGTATGCGCGCTGAAAATTTTGCCTAGTGGTGGGGCAATGAAAACTTTGCAAATAAACCAACTACCCAGCTTCTCAGGGAACACAACTACATCAAAAATAGTTCAGATTATTTGAAAGTCACAGAAGAGCTCTGATAATTCAGAAAATACCTCTTTACATAAGTTTAATTCTAAGTCATTTATAGTTGTAGAAGCGTATACACTATCATTAAACTATTCAACGCATGTTGAATAACTTCCCTCCTCTATGTGTATCTACCAATTTAACCGCAGCTACCGAGCTAACTACATCGGGTATACAGTTATGTAGGTTCATCGTCGTATTTCCGAACATCACCCGGAAAGGGACAAACAAGATCTATTCGTAGCTCCATTGTAGCACACCTTGTAGACAGTGAGCATAAGGTTGACGTTAGTTAATACTGCATTTAAAATTATTTATCGCATTCCGACTAACCTTAATTTTGCTCTACGAGTTCGTTTTCTACATACAGCTGAAGCAATAGGAATCCACCTGAAGAAACGAAACCTGTGTGTTCAGAAGAAATTTGTACAGCCACTTTTCTTACCTTGGCCATTGTTACATGAATGTACAGACCGGACTACTTCGTCGCCTTCCCCTTAAACCTTTAAAAATTATAATTGTTCAAATTATTTTATTATTTTTTCTGACTACTTTATCTTTAGTTAGATGTTATGTTTGTAAAACTAATTTATTCTTATGACAACTTCAGCCTTAGTTACAAGTTATCATTGTCCAAATCGTTTTATTTTCTTTAACAATCTGTTACGTAACCAACTTGACCACACGCTAATTCCCTAATTACTCTTCATTGTTCCAAAATTGTGCATTATGCAATTCGCGTGTTGTAACCATTTCTACCTTTTAATTGTGTGTATTCATTAATATTCTTCGTTAATTATCACCCATCGCATTGACATGTCGACACTGACTAATTATTGTTAACAAACATTTCAGTGCCACTTGATGATTGGTAAACTGTTGTGTATTGTAATAATAAAAATGCTATACGTGTATATTAGAATAGATTCCGAGTGAGATGAGGATCTAATTGAAAAGTAAATGTTTCTTCGCTCAATCCTTCTGCTTTCTGAATGTCTAAATATGGATTTATCTTCCACAAATATTCTGTTAATACTGCACAATAAACGCAACATATACTTCAAGCCAATGTTGGACTAATTGAAAGTTGAAAAACTTAATTGATGACCTTGGCTTTAAACAAATGAAATGTAAACCCGGTGTTTTTGAATCACTTTTCATCTGGTTAGCATGCATTACTGACTGATGTTAGTGAGATGTTGTCATGCATTATTGTATTTTGTAGAATAAAACAACTTCAGAAAACAGAAAAAAATGGAGATATGAAGAAAATAAGAAGCGATTTAGAGAAGAAACATTTTCTTCATCGACGAAATCATCTTCACAGAATGGCTGTACAGTCGTATTTATACTTAGAAAAATGTATAGTGGTCTATTATTGAGTAATAGGTGGGGGTGGCATAACTGATATAATTACTCAGAAGTGGCTTTAGAAGTAGAAAATAAAATTTGTAGATTATGTGGTACTCAATAGAAATCTGATAAGGTTAAAATTGCTATTGAGTAAGAGAGAATAAAGGTGATAGTTTAACGTCAATTTAACAAGTGTGAAGAAGGTGTGAAAATGTTCAAAAGGAGCATATGAAACTGATAATAGTGAATTAATTATTACAGCAAAAGCAAACTAAAATTAAAATTTTTACAGGGAACGAGTTGTGTATAGATTAAGACCAAGGTAGAATAAGAGACTGGACAAACGTTTTGTCTGTATACAGAGTTCAGGGTCGTATTGATGAATTGCCAGCGCTTCCGCCATACACAAAAGCCGAAACCTGACGCCCCTTTGTAGATGATGTTGAAAGACAACTCTAGTGGGGCTACGTGGCCTTAGTTCACCAAGTGCTCGAGAAGTGAGTTAGTACCTGTCTTGCATTGCCTTTTTGCTAACCATGCCAGATAATTTTCAGGGATACATTTGGAACGTTTGTACTTTGTGCGGCCAACATAACTAGCTCAGCAGGAGCAGGTGAGTTTATGAACACACACACTGAAGTGATGATTTTCATTCTCACACGTTCCTTTTGTACTCTTTCTTACCCTCTTCACACTTGTCAGAAGGACACTCACCTACCAACTTTCTTTCTGACTCAACAACCATTTTAACCTTATCAAATTTCTAACGCTTTCTTCCTTTGTGCCGTTGTTGATCAAAAAAGTAATTTACAACTTTTATTTTCTACATTCGAAGCCGATTCTGAGTAATTATCAATATCAGTTGTGTCAACCCAGTTGTATTACTCACTAATGGACTGCTTTACATTTTTGGAAAATATAAATACACTATAGATAAAATTTTACTTTAAAAAGAATAGATCCTGAACAAAGAGTACTCTTTTTGATAACTTCATCATCAGACTCTACAGTTAGTTATATATACATTATAGTGAATGAATGAATGAATGAATTAGTGTTATGAACAACATTAATGTTGCTGTTTAAATAACATCGAATCAATAATATTGATATCAGTGGAATACAGTTCAATAGCATCAACATAACAATAACCTGAATGTCAGAAAAATTAGGAAAGACGATACTACAAATTTACGAATTTATAGTCTCTACTGAAGGCCTGCTAGGGCAGTAGTAGGGGCTGGCTGGACTTGTTTCTTTTGAACACAGAGCACTGGTTATTGGAGGCGAATTGCAATAGCCTCTGGTGTTTGCAGCAAGCGGTGCTTCGATGATTTTGTAAATTTATTAGGCACCCGGTAGATTACAGAGAAGGATTCTCCAATGCTGGCTGTCTTTGTGGCCGGTTTGCACCAGATGGTCTAATATCGAACTGTTAATAGTTTTCACTACACCTCGAGTGAGCACGAAAAATCAAGTTCCTAGAGCAACGGCCGATATAACTGGCTCCACCACAAGTGTAGTTCAATAGGTTGGTAGATACAATTTGAAGTGGCTAGTCTAGGTACTTCATCTTTCAGGCGAGGTAGCACCATCGGTCGTGTAGAGAATAAGACGTGTAATTCGCCAGGATTAAAAGTTCTTTGAAGTGATTTTCTTAATTTCTTCGTAATTATCTCACTTGGTATATCACCCTTGAATTGAATTTGTATATAAAGTGGCTTCTTGTTCACAGATAATGCGTAGTCCTTTTCCGTTTTCTTTGTCATGTGTTTCTTGATAAATATGCCAGGATAGCCATTTGCAATCAAAGTATCATATGCAATGATTAATTCATCTTAAATTACTTCTTGTGAGCATATAGCTCTCACTCTGTGGCTGAGAGTCTTCACTGAATTTCTTTTGTACTTGATAGGAACGAAGCTGTGAAAATGCGGTAAAACATACAGTGCTGTTGTACAGTAATATTAACTGGTGACCACGTTTCGAGCATAAATTATTGCTGCATATAATCATATCAAGTCACTCACTCACACAACTTTTTACTTAATTATTATACATGTGTGGAATTAATGATTGGACATTTGAATAAAAATCAATATAGATATGTGGTGATTGACAATTTCTATCTCTGTATTGTTTAAATACTTACTGTTGACTGTTAATATATTTCTTATATGAATTGAATTTTAATTCCGCTAAATACAAACTCCTGAATTCCGCCCTCTCTGTGTTTTGGTTGAATTCTTGTAATTCGGTCATCTCGAGATACTAATACTACGATTACAAAAAATTACAACAAGGTACAATAGGCGTTGGTGTGGATTAACTATCCTATAGAATTCATCAGAGATATCAGTAAGGCTCAAATGCGAAATAAATTAAATGTGAAACTGATAATGATAACATAATTGAGAAGGAATATAAATCATCTACTGTTATAGCAAATAAGGAGGGGCTTCTGAGATCCACCCTCGTAGGTTTCTCAATAAAGCAGGGATTAGGGTGGCATTCAAACCTACAAACTCACTCACGCAGGGACAAGCGCTGTAGGCTAAAAGACCCAGTGGGTTGACCGACTTAAATAAAATAGTATAATTTACAAAATACCTTGCAATGACTGTTAGTTAAGTCAACTACATAGGTCAAACTATTAGATCGGGGGTAATCAGATTGTCGGAACACAAGAATTTAGCTAAGGCAAGAATGGTTTACCCAGAGAAGATAAGTAATTTAGAAAAAAGCTCAGCATTCATACTGCATGCATTAACACACAACCACACAATAGGGTGGGAGAGGGTTGAAATTTTTAAGAAGTAATCTGTGTAGGTGGAGAGAGAGATTGATTACTGAATCCTGGATGGTTCATCGAGTCTACAACCAACACATGCAACAGAAGTGACTCAATGCAAATACCAGAGATATGGAAGATATTATTACCACCAGTCAGTCAAATCAGAGGAGGATAATGAATAATTTCAAAATTCTATTTCAAGTGAAACACATCATAACATTCTAACAAGTTACTTATTATGACCATAAAAAACACTCGTCTTATTTCCCATCTGATTGTAATTGATCAATAACACTCATATTATTATTATTTCTGAATGTACATTATCCTATATTGATTTTTATTCAATCAGATGTCTAATCATCAATTGCGCTCATGTATATAAATGAAGCAAGAAACTTGTCTGAGTAGCGCCTTGATGTGATTATGAGCAGTTGTAACAAATTGTGTTCGAAACGTGGTCATCAGTAAATATTACTGATATCACACTCACACGCGGAGCCGACGTTGTTATATTTCGTACTATGTCTGATCGTCTTCATAGTGACATGTTTACTTTCCTCGCAGATGCTAGCGATGCATTTTCAGAACATTTTCGTCCGGATTTGGAGGCATTGGCTGGACGTACTGGTTTGCCATGGACACCTGGTCAATTAGGTCCAGTCGCTGTTGTATTTCAAGAGACTCAGCATACTCTACCACTAGATGAGCCTCGTGCAATGGCTTCAGGGAATAGTACTACATGCAATGATCGTCTGGGATCTGCTGAACCGTCTAACGAAAGGATGTCTGCTTTAAGCTCCAGATTTTTGACAGGACGTCTTGTGGCAATAAGACGTAATGCTAATGCATTCTCTTCACGTGTTTATGTTGGGACACAAACTAAAGTTCCGTCAACAAATTTCCAACCCCTAGCATCTATGGTTGCATCTATGTGCGTCGGTAGCACAGTGGTTAGGACTCTCGCCGACCATGCACATGGTCCGAGGTTCGAGCCTCCGCCGACGCACACCTGATATCTATGGTCGGCCTGCAAAAATGTGGGCTACCGATATCCATGCTGAAAATTTCATACTTGTACCAAAAATACAGTGTGGAATCAAGCTGTAAATAAAAAATAAAAAAATAAAAAGGATACGTGATATACCTGTTAGAGCACCACGGAAGTTAATTCATATCTTTCATATTCTTCAAGCTCTTAACACGCGTTTATCATCTGATCTTCCGTGTTCATCGCCAACATTTGTTGAAGAATATTTTACCTGTCCGTGTAAATGTACCAGTTGTGGTGTAAGGTGTTGTTTAAGTGTAAATCACACATCGAATAATGTGGCTCATAAAGCGGAATGCTTAGATTCTAGTGGGATCAATACAACACCTTGTCGATATGATCCAACACTACAAAACAAATTATATTTCTGCAAACTGTGTTATGCTTATGGTCAAAGGACCATGATGGTTCCTAAAAGTGGAGAGTCAAATGCTGTGTGTGAGTCAACTGTTTGATTTATCAAAATAATTACTTATCTATAATGTAGTTATAATCTACCAGAGTGCCCAAGTTTTATACTTATATTAAATATAAATACGACTGTACAGCCAATCTGCGAAGATGATTTCGTTGATAAAGAAAATTTTCTTCCCTGAATCGCCTTTTATTTTCTTGATGACTCAACTGGTACTTTCGGTGAAATGGAGATGTACAGCTGAAGTTGTGTATGTTCCACTTGGAACCCATAGTAGTAATGAAAAAAGGAAATCCCTCTCAAGAGTATCAATTATCAATAATTATTACTGGTGTTTTCTACACTTCATTTAATGAAATTATTTAAAAAATAAATAATCATTAAAATGATGAAGATATATTCTCTCGTAACGTGAATAAAATCACCGGATATTGCACATTTTTATTTTACATTGAATAATATAGTATGATATTATATACACAATTGAACATTGAACAAACACTTCAAGGTCATTTTTGTTTAAATCACCATCGGAAAGCAAAGCACCAATTTAATGACATCTGTTACAAAGTTATAAAATTCTACTTTATTTAAATAAAATAAACAGGAATATGAAGAAAGGTAAATAAATTTTCTTAAAAAAAGCATTTTTAAAAATACTCCAAAGACAGATATGTGTAATGGAATCAGAAGAAGCAGAGAAGAAGAAAAAGTTTAAACCAGATTTTCTCCACAGCAATATATTGATGCATTCATTCATCTGTCATCTTGAAAGGGGAGTGTAAAGCAAAATAATAAATATTATTATTGTTAATATTATTATTATTAAATTGTAGTGAAAAACTTTAAAGAAAACAAAATTTTAACCGGAAAAAATAATGATTTGTAACTGTAGTAACACTGAGAAATACACAGAAATACTTCGCCAGACATACGCAGTCCCGCAAGCACACACGCACAAATGCGGAGTACCACATCCTACAGAATCCATCAGATTGTCAGAAAATTAGTTGATTTTTTTCTTTCTTTATTTTTTTTAACAAACTAGTTGTCAGGTTGCATTGTGTGTATGCGTGTGTGTGTGTGTTTATTCTGTTTATTGAAAGTGTATGACTTTTGGTTAATTTGGGAATTAAAGTGGGTTAAAAGTGTTACAATTCTGGCTTATTTATGAAATTGTTTGTTGATCGTTTTATTTTGTGGTTTAAATAGAAATGGATGTGTGAGAGACGTAGGAAAAGAGAGAGAGAGAGATGGGGATAGGGCACAATAGTCAAAACATATGCAAGTTGGGCTGAATTTATATGTAGGCTTAGTCCTATTTCTGGACTCTTCACAGTGCACAAAGACGACCTAACAAATGAAATGATATTAATCCAAATCACTCGCATCCCCTCCAACAAGTCCCATAGTGGAAATATCAATCTCCAGATCACTGATAGTTAATAGATGAATGTCTTGAAGTTGTGCTGAAAAGTCATCACAAGTGGGACACACTATGTCAAAGTGAAGTGGTTGCTTGTCGAAGTCATCGGTTGAGGATCATTGAATTCCTGGCTAAAATGGTCGAATTATCAACAAGGTTAGTCTCGTAACTTGAAGGTCCTGAATTCGTTCCCGGGTAGGGTTATGGTGGCATATTGCCGAAGCAGCTATCCAGTGTTCAATTACCTCTCTAACTGAGATTTGTTCGTGACGAAATTTGACAAGTGAAGTGAAATTGTAATGAGAGCTGTCTGCAAGCCGAAATTGTAGACAACAATTTACGTCAATGTTCACGTCCCGAATTAGGGTCATGGAAAAAACAATAACAAAGCTTAACCTTGGGAAAATCACCAGCCAATCACAGCGGAATTAACGAGTGGAAATATGATTCACAGATATATGGCTTGATTTTTTGAGAAACGGCCACAAAGAGAAATGACAGAATAACCTTCATCAAGAAAACAATCAATCAGAAGACATTGCTTCAGTGCTAAAAATAACGCTAATAATAATAATGTACTTAAAAATCTATAAATATATGTTGATTTTCCAAATAAACGATCTATTGCCTGGTCCTTGTCTTCTGCCATTACGAAATCAGTTAAAATTCTCACAAATCCTACAATCTAAATACAAAACCCACTGATGAATTTAAACAATTCTCGACCAATAGAAATAATACCTAGAAATTGGTGAGGGAAATTCAAAATGTGTCGTGAATACCGTGCACGATAACTAAATAATATAGTTGGTTATTTTTAGGTTATAAGCAAATTCAGAGATATATATAGAAAGTTAAATTTCATCAAAGGAAATGACAGTGCATCCAATGATTAATGGTAGGCGTCATTACTATACTGAAAAACTGTGAAAGTAAGAATTAGATTTTTTTTACAGTAGATCGACAGGTAAGCAATTCGGAAGCCACTAATTAGTTCTACAAGAGGTGAAGTAAGGACTCGAACTAGGTAACAAAATACGAAATAAATTAACCTACCATTGTTATTCCATGACAATTGTGGAAGCCAATAAGATATCATTTGATAAATTTTAGACCTCAATTAGGCAGTTAAAATGATGCGAATGTACAAATCACCTTGAAAACAGCAAGAGCGACAGACGGGAAATTGGGGTTTCTAAAGCATAGAACGATAAGAAGACTGTAGAAGATAAGGATTTCGCGTGAGCATGATTTATGTGTAATACTATACAAACTCGAAGATCTACAGGCTAAAACGAGGTAACCGGTTGTAAGAAGCAGACTGCAAAGGCAGGACTCTCCAGGTGAACATAGAAAAGACGAAGGTGATGAAGATAATCAATCAGTTACCAACAAAAACTACCGAAAGCAATCACCATCAATAGGAGAGATTCGGCAGAGGTTAATTCCTGGCTTCACTTATCCAGGCAGCCAACACTGTTTCAATCATAAGTGGTGACAGGGTTAAGGAAGTGAAAACCAGAATCGAAATGGCAAGACAGACTTTCAACACTATGAAATCGGTTTGGAAGTATTCCTCATTCAGCCAGCATAAAGAACAAGATTCGAATTTTCAATACCAATGATAAGTCAGTCAGTTCTTCTATATTTATTGGTCAGGAACTTGACTAGAGCATCCCAAAATGCGTTTCCAACAGGCTATTGCAAAAACTTTTATAAGCAGCCAATTTCGCTGGCTCTATATTGAAGATAAAATGGTGAGAAATAAGTAGACACAAGAAACTTTGGAAAAAAGCTGGTCAAGAACCGATCGTTTAACAAATATGTACGAGAAGGCGGAGATGGGTCGGGTACACAGTAGGAAGATCGTCGAATGACATCGCTTGCCAGCCATATCATCGCTGAAACAACGACGGTGGTATGAGGGATAGCATACGAGGAAAGGTTGGAAGATTATGAGCAAACGTGTGTTCAGTTAAAGAGGATTGCAACATGTAAGACAAAGTGGAGACGTGCGGGTGAAGCTGTATGCTACACTAGGAACCCAAAAGAACAATAATAATAACTAATAATAAACTCATGCATAAGCGCAATCTTCTCCTAGCCTAACCTAAACCCTACCTTAACGTGCCTGTGGTTTAGCCTTGACCTTAATATTTCCCTAACTTGATCCTACACTAACCAGATATCTTGTTTAATATTCCTATACTGCTTCCAACACCAATTTCTATGAAAAACTGGCATTTTCTTGGTTTCATTCCCTAGTTCTATTTGAGTGGGTCAAGATCATTGATGTGTTTGAGTTTGTTTGGGTGCCTGTTCTTCATCCATGGTCTTAAATAAGGAAAAAAAAAGGAATTACTTTAAATTCCACTGTAAGGTGCTCCTTCACAAACACATCGCTATAGAATTAGCAGAAATTGGATTACATATCAGCAGCTGAATGGTCATCTAGCTACCTCTGATATTTGAAGTCGTGGAGTAAGTATTGCTGAAGAGTCCAAGTGTGAGACGAAGGCAATTCATATGAATAAATAGTCAAGTATCAAATTACAGGGTTTCATCCTGAGTTGATATCGATTAGAAAAACCCTTGGAAAACTTAGGAGTACTGGACAGGTGTTGGGTACTACTCGCTAAACGCTCAGATATAGTCGTTCTAGCTGGTGAGTTTAACGCTCAAGTAGGGAAATTGTGTCAATCTGAGAAGGATGTCGGTGGCACCTATGAAGTTCCGTGCCAGCGAACCGACAACGGTGACCGTCTCCTACAGTTCTGCTCTGATAATCATTTGTTTCTTGTAAGCACTAACTTTAAACACAAGGAGAGACACTGTTTGACTTGGAGACCCCCTTCATCAAACCAACGCTGGACACAAATAGACCACATAGCAATAAGCTACCGTTGGCGTGGGTCGGTAGGAGATTGTCGCTCCTTCTGGAACACGTGTGTAGATACCGATCACGCACTGGTCCGGGCTCGGGTGTGCTTGCGGCTGAACGGACGTAGGAAACAGCTGGCGGTAAAACCATCACGTCCCCAGCTCAATCAGGAAACTAAATCCCTATTTGAGGAAGAACTAGCTAGACACATATCTGTGTTCGACAGCTGTGCTCACTCTGAAGAAGCTTAAAAGAATATTCAGACAGCCATAGATACAGCTGTAAAAGCTGTGAATAAGGTAAACTCAAAGGTGGGTAAAACCGTTGAATCTCTACCGCCTCATCCGAACTGATTGATGCTAGAAGATTTATTCTGGCGAGCTCCGAATTCAACGAGGAGCGAAAGCTACACAAAAGGAAACTTACAAAAAGTCTCCGCAAGGACCGTGAACAGTGGTGGGTAACAGAGGCGAAAGAGATGGAAAAAGCGTCGGCGATAGGCAACACTAGGCAACTCTTTAGACTTATCAGGGAAACGGGAGGGAGAAGGCAAATCATAGGTGAGACTATTTCTGAGAAAAATGGCTCCTTAATTAGCTCTCAGGACAAACACCTTGAACGTTTGAAAGAACACTTTGAGGAACAATTCAACCTGCCTACAGCCACACTGAACCTCCCCGCCATCCAGCACACACCCGAATGGGATATAGATACAGGTCCTCCTTCCCTAACTGAGGTTTCTAAAGCTGTCACCAATCTGAAACTAGGCAAAGCAGCGGGACCTGATGGAATGACTCCAGAGGTATTTAAGTACGGTGGAGACAGTTTACTGTCTGCATTAACTGAGGTTCTAGACAGCGTCAGAGAATCAGAAGAAGTCCCATCGGGTTGGTGTAAGCCACTGATTATCCCGATACACAAGAAGGGAGACAAGTCTTCCTGTGATAATCACAGAGGGATTAGCTTGAATAATATAGTATCTAAAGTCCTAGACTCAATAATCATGCGTAGACTAAGTGGTGCTCGGGAGGCACAAACACGAGAGAGCCAGGCAGGCTTTGGGCCAGGAAGAGGGTGTATTGATCATATCTTCCCCCTCCGACAGATTCTAGAACAGGCATTCTTACCGGCGCCCAACAATCACTATATTCCTTGACCTAAAGGCAGCATTCGACTCTGTTGATCGAGAAGTTCTCTGGAGATGACTGGCTGTAAATGGAATTCCGAGAAAATACATTGCACTGATTGAGGCAATCCACTCGTACTCATACAGCCAGGTGAGGGCTTACGGTGAGTTGTCATCTGAACTGATGACGACCAGTGGTGTCCGTCAAAGATGCCCATTATCTCCTTTTCTATTCAACTTCATCATAGATGTACTAATGGACTTAACCCTAAGTGACTTCAGCGACTCAAGGATGGACTTGCTACCAGAAAGGAATAATCTCGTTGACTTGGAATATGGAGACGATATAGTCCTTCTAGGCGAGGACGCTGACAAAATGCAGAGTCTTCTGAACATCTTGAGCAACAATCTACGAATGTTTGGCATGAGATTCGCTCCCGCCAAATGCAAGATGATGTTAAAAGGCTGGACTGCAGCGACTCCTAGATTAGAAATAGGGAGTGAAGTGGTAGAGCACGTTGACCGCTTCACTTATTTGGGAAGTACCATTGTAACAACAGAAGACAAGGGCCAGGCAACAGATCGTTTTATTATGAAAATCAACACGTATTTATACATATTTCAGACAACATTATTATAGACAAGCGCAGTCATCTGATTGGTTGTTTAGGTAGACAAACGCAGGCTTCTGATTGGTTGTTTCGGGATTCCTTGACAAATCGAGTTCTCTCTGCGAATCACATTTTGCCACGTTAACTTAGCTGTGATTGGTTGTTGACTCAGTCTTGTTCATATTTTCTCACGGCCCATATTAGTGACCTAGACCTTAACGTAGATTAGTGCCAACCAATCGGCTAGCAGCCTGCTCTCACCACACTCGTCCCCCCGTCAAATACGTGCGACTGAAGTCGGCTTGATCTACTTGGTGCAGGCGTCATCGTTGGCTTGTCTCGCTGTATCCATTTCTGGAGCTCGCTGACGTTCACGCGCCTCTCATTGTTCGCCATTGCGACTGTGTCTGCGTAACCCCATCTCGAAGTGACCATATATGGTCCTTCCCACTTTGGAAACTGTTTGCCTGACCCTGTCGAACATTCGTCCATACTTCGGCCGACACCTTCATATGCTGCTTTCGCCCGACCTCCCAGCAGCGTCTCAAGTAGCAGCTCCATCGCTGGCAGATCTTGAACGCCACTCAACTGCGCAGAAGCCTTGAAGTCCTGCCCGAAGATCCATATGTCTCCATCAAAAACTGCAGGGTATAGGCTTTTCATTTGTCGGTAGGCAGCGACACGAAATGTAACAACAGAAGACAAGGGCCAGGCAACAGATCGTTTTATTATGAAAATCAACACGTATTTATACATATTTCAGACAACATTATTATAGACAAGCGCAGTCATCTGATTGGTTGTTTAGGTAGACAAACGCAGGCTTCTGATTGGTTGTTTCGGGATTCCTTGACAAATCGAGTTCTCTCTGCGAATCACATTTTGCCACGTTAACTTAGCTGTGATTGGTTGTTGACTCAGTCTTGTTCATATTTTCTCACGGCCCATATTAGTGACCTAGACCTTAACGTAGATTAGTGCCAACCAATCGGCTAGCAGCCTGCTCTCACCACACCATCAGCCAATGCCAACGGGTTGATCTCTGACGAAATCTCAGCACGGATACAGGGGGCTCATTTCGCATTTTCCAGTTTACGCCGTCTCTGGCGTAGACGAGATATTCGACTATCGACCAAAGGGTGGGTGTACTGCTCATCACTCCGCTCCGTCCTCCTTTAAAGCTAGCTGTGAGACCTGGCCACTGAGAGTGGAAGACATGAAAAGACTAGCTGTCTTTGATCATAGATGCCTGCGTTCTATCTCCCGTGTGGAGTGGCATAATAAGGTGAGCACTATTGAGGTTAGGCATCGGTCGAGCTCTAGGTAAACAGGGGAAATCAATCGACGAAGTTGTGAAGTTACAAAGACTGAGATGGTTAGGACACCTGTTGCGTATGCCTAGTCATCGCCTTCCTCAACGAACAGTGTTAGCGGATACAGGGTCAGGCTGGAAAAGAGCTAGCGGCGGTCAAACAAAAACATGACACCAGTCAACGAAATCTACAGCAGTTAGTCTAAGCCACTTAGGAAGGTGTAGACTTCCAGGCTGGGGTCCTCGGGACGGTAAAAACCAATGGTGGCTGGAAACAATTGGTGACATGGCTCAAAATCATTCTCAGTGGCTGGTGCAGATGCATCCACTCCCTGTGACTTATGATTTCCAATAAACCTATGTTGTTCTTCGTTACTACTATTCCTTTGTTTCACACCTCTGTTTACTGTCTCTATTATGCCTTCCTTGTACTTTCTTCTCTTACTTTGTGTGCTACATGGAGTGTGGCGACTTGAACTGGCGCACATTTGTGCAAAGTTCTATATCGAAAACAGACAGAGACAGACAGTTGGGTACTACTCAGCAGTATGCAGCCACTACTCGGGTTCGAACCCACGACCTTCCGGTTACGAGACAAGCTCGTAGATTATTAAGCTACTGGAAAAACCCGGAGGTCCATAAATTCCAACTTCAGAGAATTCACGATATAATGTGACCACTAGCCAATGTCATCCTCAGGGAGCATTTCTCCTGCTGTACCCCACTAGTCACGAGCCCGCCTTGTAAACGGAAGTTCCCCGGTTCGAACCTTGCGATGTGGATGTATACTGCTTAAAAAAAGTCCCAAGCTAGGCTCATGAAACAGCTCTACATTACTCCCCTGACGGTTTTCAAGGGGTTCCTTAACCAATTTCAGCTCATGATGAAATCCTGTAACCATTCAATCAAATCCCTACAAACCAACACTTAATTATCAATTTAACACAAAATAATCAATATCCAATACAAATGAACAAAAGGATAAGAAAATCTCCAGTGACAACCAATCATACTCACCTTCATCACGGCAGACGTTTATAACACCCTTAAGTTGGCGCTCAAAATGATGCCTAAAAAGATATTCATTACATCTCACAATTGAACCATATAACTCAGAAAATGCAACCACACAAAAAACAAAACATCCACCCTGAACCACAAAGCATCTTCATCGTTTTTTGAAGATAAGTTGTATATTTGATCTGTTCAAGTAGAGACAGAAAAGGAGAGAGATACCATATACAAACAAATGATGGGTCAAGTTAAACTTTAAGCACCACCAACTAACCCTACCTATGGAGTGCACCCGCATCAATGACCTTGAAACGCCCACTGGGCAAGTTAGTGAAATCCGGCAATTGATGTTGTCATCATCAATAAAATATGCTCAGTGAAGTGTTATATTATTAAATGGGATATCTGGGAAGTTTCAGGTTAGATGTGGGAAAGATTAAATTACGCTTCAAGTCGAGGACAAGTTAGGGTTAGGTTAACCTAATGAAGGCGATATTAGGGTTAGTTTAGGCATATTTTCACCTGTTAGGTTTAGCTTCAGGAAAGATTAGGGTTATTGTTAGGGTTAGAAGACCGACCTAAATAATTACTTGCATATAATGTGGTGTTAAATTACTCTATTGAAGCAAGAATAGAACTTGTGCACTGTGGTGTTAGAGTATAATTCCATTGTGGGTAAAATTTGTTTTGATAAAGTCGTCTCACAGTGTGTTATACAGTAATATTTACTGATGATGTCGTTTCGAGCACAGTTGATTGCTCAGTAAATATTACTGTATAACACATTGTGAGACTTTATCAAAACAAATTTTACCCACAATGGTGTTAAACCCTTGTGATACTCCAACTTAAAAGTGAGAGCTACTTTTATCACATATGAGAGGAAGGTATCCTCTGTAACACTTTTATGCAGGTTTTATGCATTATTTCATAAATATATGTATGTATTCCATACACAAAAATGCCTCCTTCACGTGATTGGTGCATTCAACGCCATCTGCTGATTGGTAGTTGGCGGTGCTTAAAGTTTAACTTTGTCAAGTGATTGTCTTTTTTGTTTTTGCTTTCACAGACTTTGCCAGTCAACTGATTGCCAAATGTTTTCAGATCAATACTGATACAATACAAAGTTATTTTACAACTAACTGTTTACAACTTGCCTTATTCAGTTTGATAGAAAATCATTGACAAGAAGAAATGAATACAATGATTATTATTATATTCTTTAATTCCTAGACGAACATAGGGCTTTAGCTACGCGTCTCCATTGCCTTCTGTTTTCTGCCAACTTTTTCACTCTGCTCCAAGTCTGCCCACATGCTTTCATCTCCTCCCCACATGACCTCCTCCATGTCACCCTTGCACTGACGACCAACTTGCCGCTTCCCTTTCGGGTTCCACTCGAGCAATGGCTTGTCTAGTCATGTCACTTGATAGATTCCTCCTAGTACGGCCAATCCACCTCCATTTCTTCCCGCCTATTTGTCGCACAATCGGTTCTTGCTGGGTTGGGTTGGTTGGGTGATTCATTGCCAGAGATCCCTGTTGCTGATCTTTTGTGGCCGACCATCTGATCTTGAGTGGTATTGAGCGAAGACAACTGTTAATGAAGGTCTGAAGTTGGTTTGGGATGCTCTTTATGACGCGCTGGCCAAATCTCTGATCCGTATAGTAGCACTGACTGACTTCACATTGGAGTTGAAAATCTGGATCTTATCTTTGATGCTGAGTGCTGAATGTTGACCTCCACACAAACTTGAGAGACATGAAAGCTTGTCTTGCTTTTCCGATCCTCGCTGCTTTGATATCCTCGTCAGTTCCGTCCGCCTGTAGTTGAAACGATGCCTCCCAGGTAGCTAGGTAGGTAGGTAAAGGAGGCTGTTTCTTTCAGGTTCCTCCCATTTACTCTGATTGTTGTCTGTTGTTGTTGCTGTTGGTGTTGGTAAGGAATCTTCATCACCTCTGTTTTATCTATGTTCACCTGAAGGAAGTCCTATCTTTGACGCTTCTTCTGCCAGCTTGTTGCTTTTCACTTGCGTATATTCCAGTTTGTGGGAAATCAGACATATATCATCGGCGAAGTTCAAATCCTCCAATTTTTTTTGTGTGAGTCCATTTTATGCCTGTTTCCTCATTGCCCTTGGTCCGTCTCATTCTCCAATCTACTGCAATCAGAAAGATCATTGGTGATAAAACATGAATTTCTACTGCTGAAGACATTTAACTGTTGCCATCCAGCAATAAAATTCACCCTTGAAATGGAAAACGAATCAAAAATTCCGTTTCTTGATGTGGAACTAACAAGAAGAACTGATGGGAGCCTACGAAGAACGATCCATAGGAAAGCTACTTGGAATGGTCAACTAACAAGCTTCTATAGCTGGGTACCCATTCAACAAAAGCGGAATTTAATTAAATCACCTGCCACCTGCATCCGACGCATCTGTAGTCCTGATGTTCAAGGAACAGAACTAGATATTCTAAGAGAAATCTTCATCCAAAATGGATACCAAATAAGATGATTCATCGACAGAAATATGAAACCAATAATTCGAAGAAACGAAACTTTAATTGCGCCTAAACAGAACCTCTACATGAACTTGGATTTCAAGGGAGATTTAGCAAGCGATATTGTCAAGAGAAGGTTCACATCATCTCTGAGAAGGACATTCTTTGCAGCAACGCTAAGAATAGTGTTCTCCAGTAAGTCGCCCACTGATCCGCAGAAGCCTCAAGGACAAGATCATGCATCTGACCACTTTTATGTGCGTCGGTAGCACAGTGGTTAGGACTCTCGCCGACTATGCACATGGTCCGAGGTTCGATCCTCTGCCGACGCACACCTGATATCTATGGTAGGCCTGCAAAATTTGGGCTACTGATATCACACGCTGAAAATTCGGTGTGGAATCAAGCTGCAATCAAAAATAAGACACCAGGATTACTGAATCAATGTCAGAATGCTTGGTAAACACGCACGTGGTCCAGCTTTCGATTCCTGATCGATGCATTCCGAATACTCAGCCAGTCGGAAATAAGCCCCGGATAAGATGGGCTGAGAGTGAGGCTAGTAAATCCACCTAGCATAAAAATAAACGTCAATGCTATTGAAACTTAAAAGCCCAAACATGAAGTTGTCTATCCCACTCGGAAAGCAAAACAATGGAAAACAAATAAACTGAATCAGATCAAACTACAAAAGCGATCAAGATTTTTTTTCATGTGAATACGATTAAAACTTTGATAAACTGTATGTAGAAGAAAAATAAACTAGAAGTTGGAATTCCTGAATCATTCATTGAATCCGGGTCCCAGCAGTTAAACTGTTGGTCTATGAGCTTACGTGGCTTGTAATTGAAAGGTTCTGGTGTGGTGAGAGCTGTCTGTTAGCCGAAATTGTAGACAATAATTTACGTGTCAATGTTACATGTCGCGAATCGGGGTCATGAGAAAATCAAATAACCAAGCTTAGCCATGATGTACTCATCAACCACAATCACAGCAGACTTAACGTCGTGGGCAGATACGATTCACAGATATATGACTGGACTTTCTGAGAAATAGCCGCTAAGAGATCACAGAATAACCTTCAGCAAGTAAACAACCAATCAGAAGACGTTACTCCTCTGCTTTAGAATCACAAATAATAATGTGCACTTCTCTGTTGACAATAATTTATATAAAAATCCACAAATATCTTTTAATTTTCTCAATAAACGATTTGTTGTCTGACCCTTGTCTTCTATCGTTACACTGGGTACTGATGAGTCCCAGGGTGGGACGAAACAGCTGTTTAGTACTCGCAGTTGGTTTTCACTACTTCTCTAACTGATACCAATCCGCGATCAAAATCGAAACAAATAAAATGTCTACAAACCAACTCATGAAAAATTTAGCTGGTGCTCGCTAGTGACTGGCTGCCAGGAGTTCTGTTGAATAGTCATGACCAGTGAGGTCCATCCAGTCAGGGGTGAGGATAAATACACTCCACAGATAATACTTGATATGTATCCACATATATATATTTATGTGTGTGTGCATGTTGGTCTCTCTTTCTGTTTGCTCGGTTAGTCTGTGACCACTTCACTTGTATGGACTTGTCTCCTTTAATAATGTGTATTCTCCTTATATTATATTATATATAATATGAGTGTTTGTTGACAGTCCGTTGCTTGGTGACATATATCCATATATGTTTGTTGGCATGTCTGCTATATTCGCTATGTATAATTGGATCGACACTCCATTATAATTAGCCATTCATGTTAAGACTGTCTAATGATTTTTCCCACGCTTGTCTGAATTATTTATATATATTCGCATTCACAATTTGTGTGAACTACTTTACTTTACAACTACTTGACTTGCTTACCACTTTGGTGTGAGACCATTTATTTTCGTCTCCTTGTGTTTGGACAATAGAAGTATCATCGCAAACCTAGTGGTCTTCTGATTTCCGCCTTCTCGCGTCAGGACTATTAGTTTCTCGACCAGTCCATAACAATAACTTAGCGACGAGTACATAACAATTTGGCGACGGGGAAAACTAGAACATAACAATTTGGCGACGGGGAAAACTACTATTAACCACTCAGCAGCAGCAACATAACAATTTACTATGGATTATTCTAAATTGGAATTATTGTTTGAACAACAATGAAATTAATGGAAATGTTCGTCAACCAACAGACTGGTCCAGCTTCACCTTCAAGCAATCCCAATCATACCATGCTACCATCTGTCGACGGAATTGTGAACAGTATTTCACAGTTCAATTATGACCCAGAGGCTAATGTCACTTTTGACACATGGTATCAACGTTATGAGGATTTATTCACTGTTGATCTCGCCTCACAAGACGATGCCTGGAAGGTGCGAGTTTTGCTACGTAAATTGGGTCCGGCAGAATATGAACGGTACTGCAACCTAATTTTACCACAGAAACCACGTGACAATTGTTTCGATGATACAATAAAGTTGCTGCGTGAACATTTCGGAGACCACTCCTCATTATTCAGTATACGTTATCGTTGCCTCAAGCTGGCAATGAATGAAAATGATGATTTTCTTACTCACGTTGGCACAGTCAACCGAGAATGTGAGAGATTTCGACTCAGGTCCTTAACAGATGATCAATTCAAAGCCTTGATTCTCATATGCAGTCTCCAATCTCCTCGTTTCACAGATATCCGAACTCGACTGCTCAATCAGCTAGAACAAAATCCCAAGTTAACATTACATGACATAGCTGATGAATATCAACGGCTGATTAATCTGCAGAAAGACACACACCTGGTCGAATCAACACCTCCGAGAAGCTCTGATATTCGTGCATTACGCAAGAGCAAAAATCTCTCATCAGCTACTCCTGACCCACCTACTTCTCTAATGTCCCGCGGAAATCTATACATACTCGTCCAACTTCACAAAATACTGCAAAGAAGACCCCACCATCACCATGCTGGCATTGTGGCGCGTGGCACTTTGTAAAGTCTTGTCCATACAAAAATCATCGTTGCAGCAAGTGCAAATCATCGGTCACAAAAATGGTTTTTGTCAGCCACGCCAACCCAGATATCAAAATCCAGCAAAAGCTCAACAAAATGTTGGTCCTAAATCCCCAAAAAGTCATTGAGTCTACGCGCAACCCGTCAAGTCACAACACCAGCTATGCGGAAATATATTGACCTTCAGATGAATGGTCATGATACTCGTCTGCAGCTAGATACTGCCTCTGATATTACTGTTATATCAGAGAAACTTTGGAATTATATTGGCAGACCACCTATCACCAATACTTCCCAGTCTCTTCTCAGCGCCTGTGGTGGGCGGCTCAAACTAATTGGTGAACTCAAATGTTCTGTTTCCTTCCGCAATACCAAATTCACAGGAATTTGTTACGTCACGAAGAATGATTTAAATGTTTTGGGACTTGATTGGTTCGATCGTTTGCATCTGGCTGATGTCCCACTAAATTCTCTACGCAATACAGTGAAGAAGCATAAAATGCTAGACAATTCCGGACGGAGCCGAAGCCGCAAACCCAACAATCAGACGAAACGACAGGCGTCAACAACAAGCCCAAAGGTCCCAGATAAACCCCCAGGTAAACATCCTACTAATCATCCATCTTCTCAAAAGGGGAGGTGATATGTATCCACATATATATATTTATGTGTGTGTGTGCA